AGCGGTGTGTGTCATGCTTCTTGGTCTTATGAGCTGCACAGCATAGGTCTAAAAGCCATGAGATGCACACCTCAGAGGGAAAGGCCTGGCACTTCTTCAGTGGCTCACCACGGGCTTAACTCCTCCTCCAGCAGAAAGGCTTGAGCTGGGCTTGTGGCCAGGTCCACCTCTGCCTGCTCTACCTCTGCCAGCTCCCTCCCTCCCAGAAGCGGGGACCAGTGAGCAGCATTGCCCGGCTGCTGGGCCAGCGCAGCTGGGTGGGTGAGGGAGTCATCCCTGTGCTGCCCGAGAGCTGCCCACAGGGGCTGGCAGCTGCTGGCTCCTGCGGAAGCTGGGGTCTCCTGGGCTGGTATCTGCTGTCTCCTGCCCAAGCTGGGGTCTCCTGGGCTGGTATCTGGAGTCTCCTGCCCGAGCTGGGGTCTCCTGGGCTGGCGCTGGAGAAGCCTGTTTCCCGCCTGGATTTAATTTTGCAGTTGATCTGTTGAGTATTTTGAGAATGAAGAAAATCACTCAAATATTTTCTGTCATGCTGATTTTGTAATGGGATAGGCATCTTGGTGTAATCCAAAGAATAACCTAAATTGTGTGTTTTGTCTCTTGTAGGAATTTGGTCTGGAAAATAACCAACTTGAGGTTGTTCTTATGAGTATATTTACCATGCTTTTTTCCCTTAGATGCAAGAAAACTTTTGGTGATCTTATAATGATTTAATTTTCACTGAAAGCAAATTTAAGCAAGGCAAATATTTTAGACTGCAAACCTCCACATATTCTTCTGTGGCCTTGTCAAAATGGGTAAGAAAATGCTGACTGTTTATCGAATAATCCTTGTGAGAGAGTTAGTGAAAGGAGATGGGTGTTGCCGTGAGCTATTTGCACATTCTGACCAAAGAATAAATAGTAATAAAAAAAAAAATAAAGGCTGGGTGTGTGAGCCCCTCTTCCAGAGCTGTTGCAACAAGTCTGCCCTGCCATTGCTGTTTCAGCCTGACTATTTAGTCAAATGCACAGTTGATTGCATGTCACTTGTGCTTTTTAGTACTAGATGTGACTATAGATGAAAATGCTCCTGTTTATTGTGTGGACTTTCACTCACAATGTTTATAGGGCACTCTTGGTGATAGTGATGATGTCTGCTTTCTGATTACTCTATGAGCAATTTATCTTCTGGTAACAGCAGGTGTTGCAATGCTGTTGAATAGTTCTTTATTTTCTTTTTGTTCACTGAATATGGAA